ACTTTTTGTGTCAATGACTTTGCTGCAAATAGCATTAAAAAAATACACAGTCTAATTATGGTGTTCTTGACATCAACTTTCATTATGCCTTGAATTGCCACTGGTAATAATTGCTACATCAATACATGGTAATTATGAGACTTCATCCCTACTAACTTCAAATTATCCATCAAGACAAGTCTTTTTACATTAGAAGAGTACCCTTGTGGCACCTTAATCGTATGCAAACATCGACACAAGCTATTTTTCTCTGCCTTGGACAATATGTGGGCTACTGGTTCTAGATAAGCCTTCTTACCACCCTCTTTTAGTTGTGGATGTAACTGTTCTCTTATTCCTATTTCAGCTAAGTCTAGTCTTGCGTTGATTCTGTCCTTTGTATTTCCTGGTATGTTATCACAAACATTGTTCTCCACACGCATCACATCTAGACTGTGTCTCACACTGAGAGTACACCAATATGGAAGATCAAAGAAAATAGACCTCTTCTTCTAAATGTTCTTCTCACCTACGATCTTCTTATTCTTCCCGAAGATGACATTAATTCTTTCTACCTTTTGATAAATTTCTTTTCCATTCAAAGGCTTCGAAACCATTCCATAGTCTGGTAAGCCATTAAAGACCTTTTTTAATCTACAGTATGGGTAGTACTGATCAAGAAACCTCCTATGGCTAAGGTAAACTGTCTTCCTTTCGTGCTTAAGTTGATGGAAGTGTGTATCTGCTTCACATATAGGACATGCTTTATGCCCCTTCACACTATAACCTGACAAGTTTCCATAGGCAAGAAAGTCATTTATCGTAGTGAAAATCAGTGCACGTAACTTAAATGACTCTTGCTTATGTGCATCAAACACATCGACACCTTCCTCCCACATTTTCTTTAAGTCCTCAATCAAAGGTGCCAAATAGACATCAATATTATTTCTTGGCTATTTGGTCCTGAAATCATCAAAGACAGCATCATATACTTACGTTTCATGCACAACCAGGGAAGTAAGTTGTAAATCACCAACAAAACTAGCCATGCACTATGTGTGCTGTTTAGACTACCATAAAGATTGATTTTATTTGTACAAAGCCCAAGATGAAAGTTTCTTGGCTCACTACCGAATTCTGAAAACATTTAATCTATTTTCTTCCACTGAAGAGAATCCACAGGGTGCCGGAGATATTTTTCATCTGATATTTTCTCATCAAAATGCCATGTTAACTTTTTTGCCTTTGTTACATTAGCAAACAAACATTTAAATCGTGGTATTATCAGAAGATACCACAAGATTTTCAAAGGTTGCCCTTTAGTTGTCTCGTTAACTTCACCATTACAACTCGTGTTCTTCATCACTTTACATCATGAAGTTTTACATTTTGGATACTCATTTAGATCGATATATTCTTTTTTGTATATTATGCAATCATTAGGACAAGCATGTATCTTTTCATAGCCCATTTCCATTTCTGATAAGATTTTCTTTGCCTCATACACACTATTCGAAAGAACATTATCAAACGGAAGCATATCACTCAACAATTGAAGCAACTCTGTAAAAATTTTATAGGTCCACCCATTAGTTGCCTTTAATTTGAATAATTTCAACACAGCTATGAACCGTGTATACTTAGAACACCTAGGGTACAAAGCTATCTCAGCATCATTATTCAAGCTGTCATGTATATGTGATTGTTCAAAAAACCCCATTCCTACATCGTGAATCATATCACTCATTTTGTCATTCAAGCCACTCATAACTTCTTCTAACTCAACTAGTGGTGTTGTTCCTCTTTCACCATGCCATATCCATCTTACATATCGAAGATTTATTCCCTCACAAAATAAGTGATCCCTTATATCATCAATAGTCAATCGTCTCTCATTTAAACTACTGACACAGGGGTAAAAATACTTTCTCTTTTTGTTATGATCATTTCTTTTAGCAAATTCAAGAAATTGTTCTACCCCTTTCTCATATTCCTCACTCGTTCTCAAAGCACTCATCCAACTACGATCCATTCTGTTAATACTAAGGCTGGACACAGGCTAGGTCAAGCCTAGCCAAGCCTGTTTTATAGCCTATAGGCCTGAGCCTGGCCTGTGACCTGTTATAGGTTTATTTTTCAACTTGAGCCTGGCCTGGCCTGAAGCATGTTAAAAAGCCTGTACTTTTGAAATATTCAAATTACAATTAAGTTTTTTTTAAAAAGCCAAGATTAAAAGAAGGGTACATAATAATTAATTTTTTTGGTTGTCTTTTATTTAAATTTTAGTATCATAAGTACTCTTTTAAATCTTAATTACAATTTACAAGGATATTATTGAAAACTATGTTACAATTTTGAACAAGACTATGTTTAAGTACACAAAAAAATTAAAATTAAGGCAAATAAATAAAGAGGAAAAACTATTAATTTTACAATGAATAAAGAAGGTACCATAATTTAATTAACATAATACATAAATTAATTAATTTATTATTTTTGGAACAAAATTTTTCTTTCCTATTTTATTTATATTTTTAAGATTTAAAGATCACATTATTTATTGATATTATTATTTTAAATTATATTTTTATCTTCACTTGTCAACTAAACTTCAAAATCTAAGGAAGGGTTCAGTTATTAACTATATATTAAAATTAAAAATAAATTAAAAGAGTATATTAACAATAGTATCATTAACTAATTTTTTTTATATATTATAATTATAAATTTTTAACAGGCCCAAACCGGCCTCTTTTAGAAAACAGGCCAGGCCAAGCCATAGGCCCCTGACAGGCCACTGGCCTGTTTCCATCCCTAGTTAGTACATAACCAATTTTGAATCATTTAATTCAAGAATAATATCAACAACATTTTAATTGAATTCAGCTTAATGATAAAGAGGAAACAAAGAGAGAAGAGATTTTCATTAATTCAAATGCTTTAAAAAAATCACATACACATAATTCAAACTTTAGTTAATAAAATGGAAAAAATAAAAAAATTTTAAATAATAAAATGAAAGGCCATAAGCCTAAATGAAATTAAATAATAATGTCATGATATTTCAAAGAAAATTAAAGCATTTCAAAACTAGTTGAAGCCATCAAACGAAATTAAACTACTTTTGAATATGATACATAACCTACTAATTCTAATAAGTCCAAGAGCAACAATTAAACTACTGTTCCTACTATGAAAAAATAATTATACAACTCACTAATTTATTTAGTCTAACCATTGATAGTAGCTGAAATTCATAACTCATACACACACAGGCATTTCATCAAACACCTTAAGTGCAACAATAAAATCTCAAGAAATAATCCTAATAAAGCAGCAGCCACCATTCAATCTCAACTTTTAAGATTATAACAATCGGCGTTCATAAACTCTTAAAGATGCAATAATAAAATCTCAAATTTTCATATTATAACAGATTATAACAATAGGTATTTCCTCATAACTATTGATTCTAATGAGTCAACTAACAAAACTACTTATAAATACCTTTGTGAAGGCAAGCTAACCACAAGCTACAATGCACCACCAACACCACAATGAGCTAAGGGACAAAGTTGAGGGCAATGTGAGTTGAGGTGTGATCTGAGGAACCAAGCTGAGGCCAATGTGAGCTGAGGGATCGAGCTGAGGGTAATATGAGCTGAGGCACCGAAGCAAAGGGTGACGCGAGCTCACGACAAGCTAGGTGACCAAGCTGAGGGAGAGGAGACCGCTAGCTGAGGGAGACGAGCTGAGGGAGAGGAGACCGAGCTGAAGGAGAAGAGTAAGCTATGGGTTCAACAAAAAAGGGGGGGAAAAGGACCTGGAGGGAGAGATCTGGTGCTTTTTCGGCCAATTTTTTTTAAAATCTGATGCCCATACTCATCTGTTGGACCAGAACATACATGTATAGGCCTCTACACTCGTCTGTTGGGGCCCAATAGACGAGCATGGACCCTCCATATTTGTTTATTGGACATAACAGACAAGTATGGGCCTCCATACTAGTTTGCTGGGCCCTAATAGATGAGTATGGAGGGCCATACTCATGTGTTCTATCCAACAGACAAGTGTGGGGTACTATTCTCCTCTGTTTTCAAGTTCAGACAAAAATACGGGACGAAAATAGACTGTTTTGTAGTAGTGCTTTACTCATCACTTTATTACTTGTCACGACCTGTGTACTTGCATTGCGAACAATAAGTGACGATTTAAACTGAATTTAAATACGTACGTGAAACAAGTGGCAATAAAATATTAATTATGAAGTCATTTTATGATATTCATTTGAAATGCAATGATAATTAAGGACAATAAACTCTTCACGAATGGCCAACAAGTGAATAATAAGAAAATGACTTGAGGTCAATAGAAGAAAAGAAGAAATTAATTACGTGTAGTCGTTTTTACGGATAAGAATAAACATTTGATTCCCTTTAAAGAATAAGTCATAACATTACATTAATCTCTACTTCTACTTGAAGTGTAATTTTTATTTATTTATCCCCAAGTTAAGATCTAGTCGTGCATATGTTGTTGCATTGGAAGGAGACTACAAATAATATTATGTGAAATAATATATCATTTATAAAATGTATACATACTTACATATCATCAGCCAATAATAATCACGTATATACGTATTATATGCACTTATTATATTTGCAATGAAAGTAAGAAATGCATTTCTTCATTAAAAAGCAAAAAAATAACTTGATAAACATATATATTTATATTTATATTAAATATCTGCTGGCAAAAAAATTTATATTAAATATGTACATCAATGATTAACCGTTACAAAGAAGAAAAGCGAAAAAACTAAAAGCACGCACGCACAAGGACTTCATTTTGTTATCATTATCTTTTTATTAAATGCATTTCATTAATATAATACTACTATATTGGATGCACAATATTTCTCCCTATCAACGGCCCTTCCTACTTACACTATAAGTTATATTGCAATGCATAGTTTATTTGTAATTTGCACTGTGAACACAACTTATAAGTTCAACAACATGTCCTCTAAACACTTTCTAGTGTTCCTTTTGGGAGTGGCGTTTCTCACCACTACTTCTAGCTTTGCAAACTATTGTAAGCCGCCTGTTGAAAAATTATTGTTTGAGAATATACCTTCATTTGAGGATTCTTCCACTGATGAATCCCTGCTAAATGATCACACTTTTGACATACAACCCGTTGAAGAGCCACCTGTTAAGAACGCACTACCAATTTTTAAAACTGCAACTGGGAAACCATCTGTATACAAGTCATCAGAGAAACCACTAGTTTATAAGCCTCACATTATGAAAGAATCGATAAAAATCAAGTCAAACAAACCACCGTTGCCACCACCTATTAGTCCTTCACCGCCAATTGAGATACCCATTTAAGCCAGCGCCGCCGCCACAAAACCCGAAGAAACCACCACAAATTTATCGAACTCACCTTATGCTCACTAGCCTCTCGTTCATCAAATGGGTACAAATAGAATATTCTATGATTATAAGTATATTTTTGCTCATAACAATAAGAGGCTACACAGTCTCTCTGCAGTCTGTAATAATCAGTCATCAAGCGTTCATTAATATTTTGCCAATTCTGTTTTATGCAGCTGCCTTGTCGTCTACTATGTATGGCTCTGGACTGTACATTTAAGTGTACATTGATGATTGTCTATTTTCACATGCTTCCCCTCAGATTCAGCAGTATAATGTGCGACATCTATAGTTTGTAGCAAAAAAGAATTATATATGCGTAATCAACATTGTAACTAATATTTAGATAACTGTCGATCACGGATTAGTTAGCATATTTTGGCACTTATCCTTGGTTTGAATGGGAAGAAAAATAAAGAGAGGAATGTATATTAGGAAAAAAATTCTGAAAAACTTATAAAATAATAATTTGATTCAAGGCATCGATTTATATGTTTTGATGGTAATTTAATAACATTACGTATAAACAGGACAAAACAATATACTCTCTGAAACCCTGGTCAAAAAAATACACTCTCTGAAACCTTATATAAACAGGATCAAAGCACATCGAATCCTTCATATATAATGCCTCTGACTCAATTCCTCATGGACCGGGCTTTGCATATATTAGGCTTTATCACTTTAATAGAGGTGGGTTGAATGAATTGACTTCTTTGTTGCCTCCAAGGCTCTGCCTAAGTGAATTTTTTTTTGGCTTAATAATGTATTTAATTTTAAAACTCAGACATCATTTTAATTTTGATCATTGAAATTTGATTTTCTTTTTGCTCAGCTTAAAGATTTTGTGTTTGGAACAGTATTTTTGGTCCCTCAAGGACCAAAACTACTAAGTTCAAATTTCAGATATCAGATCAGATTTTGGAGACTAAATATGATATCAATCTTTTTTTTTTCAATAGAATACATAACAATCATAAATAAACAAAATAAACAAAATATATAACAAGATAACACCTGAGATCTCATATCATTCACACCACCTTTATATCCAAGTCGGTTAGGGTGTGTTTGGTATGAGGGATTTGGAAGGGAGGAGAGGGAGGGGGAAGTATTTTAATTTTTTCCTCCTGTGTGGCAACACACAAATTTTAGGGACGGAAAATTTTGAAAAATTTTCCCTTAAAATTTTCCCTCCCCTCCCCTCCAAAATTGGGAGGATTTGGAGGGAAAGGTTAATATTTTGCTATGTTGTGACCATTATGTTCATATTTTGTCATGTTGTGACCATTATGTCCATATCTTAAACAAAATAAGGGCAAAATTATCCATATTAAAATATTTTTTCCTCCCCTCACCTCATGAACCAAACAAGGTAATATTAAAACTCCCCCTCCCCTCCCTTTTTATAAATCCAAATAAGGTAATATTAAAATATTTTCACTCTCCTCCCCTCCCCTTCTTCTCATTGAGCCAAACAGATCCTTAGTGAGGCTGTAATTTGATTTTGTTTTCCTTACTTTTTGGCTGTGGTTATAATAACTTCTATGAAATGAAATGATATTACGAATTCAAAAACTCGACGTTATTGTTATTTAGCTTGTTCAATATATTAATTTCAAAATACAAGGAAAGTAAGATGAATTATAACTTATTAAGTTAAACTAATTATTCACTTTTAATTTAATTTAGTTTAGATTATATATTTTATTTGTTAAAGGAATCAAACTACAGTTACATGCAACTGAATTATTTTGCTAAGACCCCTTATTCGATCCCTTTCAAAATCCATGATGTATTCTAGACATGGATAATATTTTGTGTTATAATAATACTTGATCATATCGGACTATTATTTTGTTTGAGATGGCATTAATTAAACAATCTCCATATGTTAAAGTCTGATTAAAACATTTAGTATTAACCTTCATGTTAAACTGAAGAGGTATTTTTTTTAAAAAAAAAAACCGTTGATAATTGAGGTAAATAATAAAATCTATATTCTTTTTATATTTCAAAAGAACATCTATATGCTTCTCTTCCTTTAATGTAAAAATTTATTTAATTAATTTGGGCAGAACAAGAAAGTTAACTAAATTACTTAGTTCTAAAAAAAGCTTCGTGATCTTCCCAAAATAGCATTACATTATATATCACTTTATGAGTTCGATAAATTAGTGTAAAAAATGATAAAATTGATTAATGTCTTAAATTTAGTATCAAAATAAACTCTGTAATTAGGTCATATGTATAGCTATCAATAAGGGCCAGGGTTTAAAACTCTGTAATTAGGTCATATGTAATTAGGTCATAAACTCTGTAATTAGGTCATATGTGATTATTAAAACTCGGCCCTTAGACATCCGAGCTCATGGCCTAAAAAGGTTGATCTTTTTATGTTATTTTTTAAAATTTAAATTCTTTTAAGTTATTTTGAAATAAAAATAAAACAATAAAAAATTTAAATTTTTTTATTCAAATTATAAATATTTGTAAAATAAACTTATGGTATAAACAAAAAAAACATCAAACACCAATAAACTATTGTCCAAACTCAAAAAAACTAAAACCAAATGAAACAGGGAAAGTAGAAAGATAAAAACCAAGCAACTAAAGATTAACAACATTAACATGATTATTATCTATTTATCTTTATTTTTATTTTCATCACTATCATCAAGATCAATAATATTTGATTGCTCTTCCCTACAAGTGGGCTCTTCATCAATGATAAAAATATCAAGTTTCCGTCACCCTCATCTAAAGTAAAGCTATGTAGCAGTTTTGAGTACAAATGAGAGCCTGAACATTTGTTAGAATAATAAAATTTTTGTACTTTCTTAAGACATGTGAATTGATGGTAAAAGAAGATTTATTAGTTACTATAGTGATTGGAACACTAAGAATATTAGCCGTCATTCTTGAAAAAATTAGAAATTAATTTTAACTATTTTTCCATGAGTTCAAGATATCTAATTCTTTTCAATTATCTTGCCTAAGTATTGGTTTTTCTAAATATTTTTCTAGTTAAGACTTGTCTATAAAAGATGGATTCACAATTGTATAAATATATTGATAATAATAAAAAATAGGCAGGCTTAAAAGAGCTGGCTTTTGACCCTAACAGGCTGGCCCTTTTATTTCTAAGTCCTATAGAGCTAGTTCTTTTATGCTCAATTTTCTTTTGAACCTTCTAAAATATAAGCCCAATCCTTCACTTAAAAGGGTTTAAATAGGTTGGCCAGCTAGGCTTAGCCTGTTTTTATGGCTCTACTCATATGTTTAGAATTGGAGGAGTAGTATATATTAAAGATGATCAGTGATGATTTAAACAAAGCTCAAATACGTATTTAAAACAAGTGGCAAGAAAATATTAATTATGAAGTCATTTTATGATATTCATTTGAAATGCATTAATGATAATTAAAAACAATGAACTCTACACGAATGGCCAATAAGTGAATAATAAGAAAATGACTTGACGTGAATGAAAGAATTAAAAAAATAATTACGTGTTCGTTTTTACGGATAAGAATAATAATTTGGTTCACTTAAAAAAAAAAAAAGTCATAACATTGCATTCATCTCTACTTCTACTTGAAGTGTAACTTTTTATTTATTTATTTATTTATTTATTTATGTACACGTTGAAATCTAGTGGCGCATATGTTATTACATCGGAAGGAGATGACAAATATTATATGAAACATTATATCATTTATAAAATTTACACTTTGCTCTCTTTCAAATATTGTATATCTATATCATAGACCAATCAACCAATAATAAACACGTATACGTGTTATATAAACTTATTATATTTGCATTGAAAGTAAGAAATACATTTCTTCATTAAAATAGTGAAAGATAAATAACTTCATAAACATATATATACAAACATACATATATATATATATATTCAATATTTACGTCAATGATTAAGCGATACAAAATATACATGCAAAATTTTTTTTTAAAAAAAAAGACACACACACGGACTTTATTTTTTAACATTATTTTTTATTAAATGCATTCCATTAATATAATATATTGGATGCACAATATCTATCCCTATCAACGGCCCTTCTTACTTGCACTATAAATTATATTGCAATGCCTAATTTGAGATATGCACTGCGAACACAAGTTATAAGTTCAACAATATGTCCTCCAAGCACTTTTTAGTGTTTCTTTTCGGAGTGGTATTTCTCACCACTTCTAGCTTCGTAAATTATTATAAGCCTCCAGTATCTGAAAATATGCCACCTTTTGGGGATTCTTCCGCTGAAAAAACCCTTGCTAAAAGATCTCCCTTTTGACATACCGCCCATTGAAAAGCCACCTATTGAGAAGGTACTACCAATTTCCATGACTGCAATGGAGAAACCAGCTGCGTACAAGTCACCAGAAAAATCACTACTTTATAAGCTCTTAATTACGAAGGAATCGATAATAATCAAGCCAAACAAACCGCAGGTTCCGCCACCGATTCCTCGTCCACGGCCGATACCTATTTCCAAGCCATCAACTCATTCACTATCAGCCCTCCCTATATGCTCAGTAGCCTCATTTAAGTGTGTGTGTGTGTGTGTGTGTGTACACACTTTGGCTCATAAAAATAAGAGGCTACACAGTCTCTCTGCAATAATCTGTCATTAAGCGTTCATTAATATTTTGCCAATTCTGTTTTATGCTTGCCTTCTCGTTTACTATGTATGGTCCTATGATCATACGATGATGATTGTTTACTATGTTTGGCTATATACTATACATTTAAGTATACATTGATGATTGTCTATTTTGACATATTTTCCCATCTGTATATTGTGCGAGAGCTATAATTTGTAGGAAAAAGGAATTATTTATGGTCAATATTGTGTGCAATATTTCTGTTATTGACGAGTTTTTACTCAAGCAATATTATCCTAGAAATTTTTTTGTGTTCAAGATTATTT